CCGCACGAAATTGTTGAAGCAATACTCCAACAGCTACGGAACACAGACCGCAAAAATGGCTATCCAGAGAGGTTCATCCTCGCGCACATCAATGCCTCTATCACGAAGCCTGCCGTTGCAACTTCGGATGAGAAGGACATATTTGGAAGACTGCTTTTTCTAGCAGACATAGCAAGTGACGTAGTAAGACGACTTCCAAGGACGGCCATCACGAGCGCTTTACCGGTGACAAACTTCCGCGTATACTTCGCAAACTGTCCCCTTCTACGACTGGGAGGTAAAGACCGACTCCGGTTGCGGATCACAGCACTGTGCATTTACTCATTCACCTGCTCATACTGATCTACAAAGAGGCGTCTTTAGAAGACGATACACGAATACGTACTTGTCTGGCTGGCTGGGTAGGGGTGAAAATAAATTGATTTCGAGTTCTGTTCTCGCTCATCGACATGAACCAGCAATTCGACGTTAAAGAAGCTTTTCAGGGACATCAGCAAACTCCTCTAAACGTCTACATCAGCAGGTGCTAGCAACAACTGAAGCGATGACTTTTTGGCTAGCGCATCTAGCGCTTTGTACACGTAGTCAGTTTTTCGTGGTCGAATGCAGATGGTGACTACACGCAGCCCAAAACCCCCGGATGACAGTCACGCGCGCACATCCTACCTCTCCCCCCCCTGTCCCACGCCCCAATGGTCACAGCACGCCGGCTTTGTCACGTGAACAGCATGGGAAGGGGTAGGCCTAACCACGAAGACACGTATAAACCCCATCCATGGTTCACAAGTTCATTCTCGAGGTAATTGGTATGGGGTCGCGAAAATGCCTCCCTAGAGAGCTCAGAAGACCAGTTGCCCAGCATATGGGTGCTTCCGATAAGAATAAGGGGCCACATCCCGGCAGGGCTGAGGAAGGGCGAAGTTGGGGAGCATAAAAGGCGCTATTCCCGCACACCTGGTTGATTACAGGCATTGTGTGGACCCCGACAAAGCCTGCTGGGGGATTTATAAGGTTCCAACAAACCACCACAAGCCTCTGGGTCAGCCTCTGCGAGTAACAGTAGAAGCTAGCGCTAGTAGGCTGAGGAAGCCGGTCTTGTGTGCGCAAAAGGCACCTCCTGCAAGCTCCGCGCCTGGCATTGTCGATGGTCGCTTATCTTTATGCACCTTTCCACGCTTTCTCTTCCT